GGGTCCAGAGGTGGCGGTGGGGAGCTGATCTCTAGGTCGCGCTGTTCCTTTTCAGCAGCAGACACGGGAGGGTCCAGGCCAAGCACTGAGCGCCAGCGGCACTGGGTTGGGGAGGGCGGCCCCATCTTTGGTTTCTATCGCATCTGGCTGTCAGGCTGAGGTGTTGGTTTGGGTGTTTCATGTGTGTTTATCTTCCTTGCAGGCGGTTTTGGTGAATAACATCACCACAGGCGAGAGGCTCATCCGAGTGCTGCAAGGTAAGTTCCGCTCGCTCCTCCACGCCAGGCGCTGTTTTTAGGAGGAAGCTCTATTTCTCTCATTCTTCTCTAGGCCCAGGTGGGTCTCCGTGATAATCTCATGGCAGATAGTATCATGAGTCATTGAGCAATCTTTATTCTTTTTGCCTAACTCTATCTCATTAAGAGGCTTTTCCTTTTAAAACAATATTGCCAAATACATTGCAAGCTGTTAGATACAGAAGAGTTCAGAATGTCACTCATGAATGTGTTGAGAAATAGAAATAGTACTTACGACAGGCACATGCTCTGTTACATATACACATGGTATACATGTGACCTGTGAATTGGGTCATGCTGAATTTCGATTGCATGAAACTTGGAAAACCTGTCCAGCACAATTTAGTTCCCCCTCTTTGCTCCTGTGACTCCACTTGGCAGCTGGGGATTGGTTTTCCTTTGAGTCCTTCTGAAGCAGCCACGGGGCGGAAAATGGGGTGCTGTCCTTTGTCGGGGGGGTGGGCTCTTCCTTCCTCTGTGACAGGAGGGTCAGCAAGGTCCATGCTGTTGGGCTAAATCATCTGTTGGGTTGAATAATTTTTACTCTAAAAGTGTGGTTACTGGGAAGTTAAAAATTCGCTATACAACTTGCATTATAGTTCTTTTGATCATTGCTGGTTTAGAGTTCTAGTTCTAAGTCAGGTTCTAAGAATATTAGAAAGTCTTATGTGAAAAGGAGTCACTTTGTGAAATGTGTTTGGGGGAAACATAGGGTTACACAGAGTTGAAGAGGCTGCCTGGCTGCGGGGCTGAGGGTAGGGGGGTATCACGTAAAGGTTCAGTTGGACAGCAGTTTTGATAGAGCATACATGTCGAGTAACTCCACCAAAGTCAACACAGGGAACATATTCATCACCCCCAAAAGTTTGCTTGTGTGCCGTGGTGATCCGTTTTCCTCAGGCAGCCTCTGGTCTGCCATGTAGACTAGTTTGCATTTTAAATAATTGGATGCATGCCCAAGATTCATAAAGCAAGTCCTTAGAGACCTACAAAGAAACTTAGACTCCCACACAATAATAATGGAAGACTTTAACACCCCACTGTCAACATTAGACAGATCAACAAGACAGAAAGTTAACAAGGATATCCAGGAATTGAACGCAACTCTGCACCAAGCAGATCTAATAGACATCTACAGAACTCTCCACCCCAAATCAACAGAATATACATTCTTCTCAGCACCACGTCACTTATTCCAAAATTGACCACATAGTTGGAAGTGAAGCACTCCTCAGCAAATGTAAGAGAACAGAAATTATAACTAACTATCTCTCAGACCACAGTGCAATCAAACTAGAACTCAAGACTAAGAAACTCAATCAAAACTGCTCAACTACATGGAAACTGAACAACCTGCTCCTGAATGACTACTGGGTA